GGGGGGGGACTCTTGTCCTTCTCATCCGGACCCGACGATTTTTTTTATAATTTTGGGCACCGATTTGGAAGTTTTTGTTTGTTCATGATTGAGTCTTTATTGCGATGCTTGTAAATTGACCTCATCTAGTCATCTTACTCAAACAGAATTTGAAGTCATCGAAAATTGACTCTCACAACTAGGAAAAAACATTTATTCGAATTTTAATCATTGTTACACACACACATTTGGAGCTGTTCGTATCAGTACGAATTGTGTAACATCAACATGTAAAATGTTACTTTTAAACACTTACATTATTTGCAAATTAGTGAAATGTTTGATGGTGGCGAAACTGTCTGCATCTTTGGATCGTATCAGTTCCCTATCTTATCTTTCTTTTTTATCTCCTTTCTGTTTCAGGTGGTGTTTATCTAGGCACCCGTCCGTATATGACCCTGGCTGTTCCGAGGACGTCCCTGCAGGTAGAGCGTAATAATTGTACCTGCTGCCCCCAATTGCATGATCGTTAGTGACGACTAAATTTGGGACCTTATCGTTTCTCTTCTGTCTAAATAACAATACTAAACCAAACGAAACCAATTATTATCACGGAAACCATGGCCATGTGATCAGATAATGCAGACTGCAGTTACTGTCCAGTAACAGCAGGCTGACTTTCTATAGAGTTGATGGAATAAAGGAAAGGCATATGTTAAATATATGGCTATATGTATGTATCCGACTTTGCGCAAGATGTTGGTGCTATTTAAGGTTTGAGGGTATCAAAAAAAATCCGTTCAAGTATATTCTCCAAATCATCTTCTAAGATTGATTTTGATGAGGGTATGCTACACAGTTCCATTCAAACTTATTCTCCAATGCGTTAGCGTATCTAGGAGAATATGTTTGCGTTGCATACCCTTATAAATGTTAAAAAGATGCTTTGGAGAATATATTTCAACGGAACTGTGTGTTTTCTTTAACTAAGGTTTCCGAATTAGCCATATGTGTAATTATCAAATATTGAGTAAGCTAAAATGGCATAGTTATCTCGTATAGAAAAGAATGCGATCGGTAATACTCCATAATGTTCAGTTGTCATTCATGTATTTAATGTTTACCAGCTGGTACACGTCATGTATAGTGTTTGTGGGTATGTTGTTATATTCGATTTTGACAATTTTACAGATTTCCATCAAATTTTGCATCCACGCAATGACTTGTGTAAGAGAACACCAGAATAATCTGCATATTCACTTTTAAACATGGTAGGCTACAGGTTAGAAATTAAACAGTTTGAAAATTCAGAGTTTGTACTAATAACTTGTTCAATATTTGTTAAAAACTGCAATTTGTTTATAGGTTTGCACATATGTAGCAGAACTGGTCTGGGTTGATCGTTGGTGGAAAGGTACAAGGTACAGTGTACCAACTCTAATTGTTAGAGCATCCGTCGAGAGTTTAGAAGTTCAAACCCTGGTCTGGCCGTTTCGTTTCTCTTTCTCCTATTACAAAATAGCCAAGCTTGCCAAACCTTCTTTCAAGCACTGGGTAAATGCTAAGCAGGGATATCTGAAACAGAGTTGTAAATAGTGTCATCTTCGGGGGCAAACACTTCGAGAAAGGAGGGAGGAATGTAGCATACATTTGTAACTGGACTGGGTTGATCAATGGAGACCAGGCCTATGTAGCACAATTGTCCACATTTCAGAAGCTGAGGGGGATGGGTTGAATAGTTAAAACCTTGATTGATGCAACAATGTTCTTACCACTTTTGTTCTGCTACATTAGATAAATGACAGTTTTATGGATATTATCGCCTTCATTATGTTGAGCCTCATTATTTTAAACGATGCAATATGCATGGATAACAAGCATAGACATGAACAAGATAACATATTCTTTATGCAAAGAACTTTGGTATATTTCTACAACTTTCAGCTAGTTATTGAGCAACGCATTGAAATCAAAATAACAAGGCTCAGCAGTATAAGGATTTTACCAATGTTATGTCATAAGAAAATTCAAAAAGCAGAAATACTTTAATGTTCATATGCAACTTTAATATGCCAAGTGAAATACCAGTCATATGTTGGTAGAAACAAAACTGTTCATACAACACCATGAACTGCAATGTGGGTTTATTATATTCAAAACAGCAATTCAATCTTCATATATATATAATATGATACTGAAGTTCCAGTACTGTAAAGAATGACAGATTAACTCACGATTAATAGTTAGCAGTATTTACATTCTTGAAGTGAATATTAAACTTTTACACTAAACATGATCATTAACTTGTGACCAGTATATAGAAACCAGAATGCTTATATACAGCTTTTTTGAACTTACTAGTAACAAACATCTTCTGTACAAAATAATAAATACATTTCTGTATTCCAGACTGTTGTTGATTTTATGTCCGACTTAATATCTACATTTGAACTACAAAATTGGACTATGTCTGAGTGTTGATTAAACTTGAACTGCCATCAGAGTTACATCATGGGAAGGCGGTATCCTGCACCCTAAAATGCAAATCTCTGTGATGTCATTCTGACCTTTGACCTAAATTCTTTGTACTAAAATAACGGTTTTCCAGAACATATCTTAGCCGCTGTTTCAGGAATGGACACAAAACTTTGCATATACAAAATGTATAGGTACATAAAGAGAAGGCAGTGTGTCATACCTTAAAAATTGTTTACTGTGACCTGTCCTCACTTTGACTTTTGACCTTTACTTCAAAAACAATTTAACACAGATTACACAACATACCTCAACCAATGTTTCAAATAAATTGGCATCAAATTTTATACATATGGAAGGAGCAGGGATAGATGTCCATGATGTCTACAGTTCAATTTAAATATAGTTCAATAAACTTTATTAAAATATGAAAAAAACATATATGTACAACCAAAATACAATGAATGTACACGTACATGTACCATATGTGAATTTCATGTATTGGAATGTTTTTTTTTATTTCAGAATGTTATCACTTTGGTGAGCAATACATGTGTTCAAGTTGTTTCTTTTATATTGTTGACCAAATTAATCATTTTTTCCATTTGTTCATCAATAACATCTACCTTAAGTATGACAAGCAATAGAATTTGTGCCTTTACACACTGCTCAAACAGTGGATACACGCTAAAAACAATGGAGTCAGGATACATGTCCTATTCACAAGATCAACTTTGGTGTAGGACGATGCATTTGTGAACCACTCTTCTGTTTATTTGACTTTTACTACGAAAAATGAAAATGCCAAGCAAGCATGGACTGCTGCAATCAACAGAAACAACCCAACCACAGATACAAATTGGACGCCATCCAAGGACTCCAGGATCTGCTCCAGTCATTTTGTGGATGGTCTTCCAACTGCTCTGAACCCATACCCCACACAAAATCTTGGGGAAGGCAAGCTTGTGAAGTCTAGAAAGCCCCCTGTCCATCGCCCCCCTATCAAGAAACAAATTAAGACCCCTGAAACAGTAAATGATGATAATAGTACTGATCATGATCAACTGCCAGCTAATCACATCAACGACCACAACTATGTTAGCAACTGCAAATCCTGTGATGAAAAAGACCAGATTATTAAACAGCTAAGAGACAAAATTGTCACCCTTCAAAACGACTTATCGACCATGAAACAAGTACAGCGCAAGCCACAAAGAATACCTATGCCATCTTCCATTCTATCTTCAGATAAAAAGTACGTTTCTACACTGGGGTTCCATCTCTTCAGGCATTTAACACAATTTATGAACAAATTCTTGAACCACATCTACGCAAAATACATTACTGGAAAGGACCAAAGATTTCATGCAATATCTTAAAACACAGGCAAAAATCTTTCAGGAGACATGGTCCAACAGGACAACTCGGTGGCAAGGGAGAAATGCTCCTCACCTTGATGAAGTGTCGCCTAGGCTTTCTGTTTGAAGGTCTTAGTTTTTAGGTTTCATGTCAGCACATCACATGCATTAAGGGTATTTGGCACTTGGATAAGAATTTTAAGTCATTTCGTAGGCAGTCTTGTTAACAACCCTCCCAAGGAAATATTAAAAGCTACCTTACCACAATCTTTCGAAACTCCAACCTATCAAAATGTTAGATTTATCAAAGACTGCTCAGAGATTTTTCTGGAAACTCCCCATAACCTCTTGATAAAATCATTGACATGGAGTGATTACAAACATCACAACACTGCAAAGTTTCTTGTGAGTATCACTCCATTTGGAATGATTAACTTCATATTTAATGCTTGGGTTGGGCGTGCCAGTGACAAACACATCACTCTAAACTCTGGTTTTCTCGATGTCATAGAACCGTATGGCAAAGTCATGGCAGACAAAGGGTTTCCAATAGCAGGTGATCTAGCTCTTCTAAACTCCGAACTCATCTTCCCCCCAGGTAGAAGAGTCGTAGATCAGATGTCCAAGCAAGACGTACAGAAAGCAATAGCAA